AGAAGGATAAATAAAATTAGTAATAGTCATGTACCAAAAACTAATATTAAACAACTTTACAAAGTCTACATAAATAACATATTATGTTGATACACTAAAGTTTACAAACTTTCGTTTGATGAGATAAAAAAACAGAAATAAGTATTCTTATTATGGATATAAACGTAGAATTGTGCATGCTTCTTTAATAAATAATTAGCAGTTTTATTTATTGTTACAGAAACGTTTACGCGCCATAAAATTTGAAATGTAAACAAAAGTTTTCCCATCGACCTCGATTTACTCAATGATGTGGCCAAACGTCAAACGTATTGTCAAAAGACTTAAAAATGTTACTTTTTAAGTGTAATATATTTCTGAAATTCTTATTTTTAGTGTTAATAGGTTTAGTGAGTGCAGAAGTTAAAATATCTGATAAGAGATTATGTGTGGACGATAAATGTGAAGGTAAATATGCTACTTTTTTGAAACTAACCTCTAAATTACGTTCAAAACTTTTCAGTCCCTATATCGGAAGGAAAAACCTTGTTACGTTATATTAGCCCCAATAAAAATATTTTATCGTTTGGTTCGAATGAAAAAGTTACAATATTTAGTAAATCTGCAGGGTCTAATCCTACCTTATGGGGTGTAGAAATAAATGGTAGAAGAGGTTATATTCCCCATGAATATATTAAAGAGATGAAACCTTTTCGTACAGCCGAAAAGTTAGTAGATACAGAATTTGTAAGTAATTCTCCTACAATTGAAGTGCCTTCTGAAGGACCTAAACCAACTGAATCAGTTGTTAACGTGAATCCAGAGCCTGTTAAAAAACCTTACGAAATCATTGATGGTACAAAAGTACCTATTGATGTAGATGCTCATTCTGAAGAAAGTAGTAGTGGTAAATCTAATGAAAGCAGTTCAAACTTTGTAGCAACTGATAACAAAAAACAATCAGATGAAAAGGAGCTAAAAAATTCAAACCATGATTCAAAACCAAATGGGGGAAAGGATACAAATGAAATACTAAGTGATATTATTACAAATACTGTTAATTTTTTGACTAATGGTGATGACAAAATCAAGAGACCTTTAGATATTACTATAAATAAGAGAGAGAAATATGAAGAAGAGCAAGAAGATGAAGAAGAAGAGGAAGACGACGATGATGATGATGATGATGATGATAGTGATGATGAAAATAAAGATGGTGTGAGTGAGGAGGATGATGACGAAGAGATAGAGAATAAAGAGAAAAATAAAAGAGAAGATTCAGTATCAAATGAAAGTTCCAAAGCTAAACTACAGTTTAGAAAAGATTCTTTAAAAACAAAAAATAATAAAGCTGAAAATTTAGAGAAAAATTTCACACAAAAGACTAATACTGAGGACACCAACGATTCAACACTAGAGACAAATAAAGGCGAATCAAAACAGTTCAGTGATAATTTAACTAACAATTTTACTAGAAGTAATGGAAAGGCTTTAGATTCTGAAAATCAAGCATTACCCAAAGAGACAAAAGATAATAAAAATAAGGGCAAATCTTTAAATATTGCTTCACCTGAAAATATAAAAGAGCAGCATGAGAACAAGACAAAACAACAAGCTGAAAGTATTCTTAACACAAATTCTGCAAAAATTGACGTTTTACAACAAAGTACTAATGATTTAGAAGAAATATCCGAAGTTGAAGCAAATAAGAATTCTAAAGCTAAGCTAGAAAGCAATATTGAAAGAAATCCACTACAGTTTAATCAAGAATCTTTAGAAACAAAAAGTAATAAAATTAAAAATTTAGAAAAAGTCATGCCACAAAAGAATAATACTAAACAGATGACCAATTCGACATTAGATAAAAATGAAAGGAAGTCAAGAGATTTTAGTGGCAATTTAAGTAACACTAACTATTTTACTGATCAGAAATTAAACAAAGTAGGAGAAATTACAGTGAAAAATACAATAAAGTCAGATATAAACCAAGTGAATAAAGAAGATTTAAAAAGTTCAAATCAAAAATTGCCTCTAAAATTACAAACTGATGAAAATTTTGTAAAACAAACTCCTTTTTTTGAAAATTATTCAAAAAATGAAGCTATTGAACTGGAATATAATAATTCAGCCCAAGAAACTATTGAGTTAAAAAATAATCTACAGGATAATGTAAAAAATGAAACTTCTGACTTAAGTGAAATTCAAAAAGATGGTGGAAAGTCTTATGAATTAAAAGAAAATCAAGAAAACAAAATTTTAATAAATACAAATACTAATAAAGAAATTCCAAATATTTCAGAAACTTCAACACAAAATATTCAAGACAATTTAACTCATAGTATTTCAGAAGATTCAACACAAAATGTTGAAACTTCAACAGAAACTATTCAAGACAGTTTAACACAAAATATTCCAGAAGATTTAACAAAAAATATTCAAGAAGATTTAGCACAGAATAGTAACGAAGAATCAGCAGATGAAATGCGTACTACTGATAATAATAAAAATAATTATTTGAATGTGGCAAATGATGGTTTACTAATATCACAAAGTTCAAATTTGAATACAGATAGTTTAAAGTCAGAATCAAACAGTATTCCTGGAAGCTTTTCAATCCAATATGACGATGATAAACAAGATGAAAATGAAAACTTGAACCATAAAACAAGCGATGAAGTTTATCAAATATTTCATGATAAGAGTAGTTTGTTATTTCACAAAAATAGAGATAATGAGCTTTCTGAAAGTGAGCCACATGCTGCAAGTGAAACAGAGCAGGGTATGTATTTTTTTATTTTATACATTAAAAGCTACAACTGAGTCAATATGGATAGTCTACCCTTGTATTTTGTATTTCTGTAGTAATACTATGCTCTACTAATACTTTCATGTTTATGTTAATATTAGTAGTCAAAATTTTCATTTGTTTATGAGTTAAAAAATATGCTTTATTTTCATAGTTAATTTTTTAATCCCAAACTATGAATAAAAAATGCCAAGTGCATATATACAATTCAAGCATACAGTAAAAAAACGTGGTAATAAAATTGTGCAGTAAAACAAGAATATCAATCAAATAGCCAGACCAAAGTTAAAAAAAGGCTTTAATTCTTCTTCTTTATGAATAGTGTAGCAGATTAATTTTTAATGTATTATCTTAGAATTCGAAGTAGGAGTGTTACTATCAATGCTTTTGGATGATGATACAGTTAAAAACATTGCAATTTGTGTTGCCTACTCAATACTATTCATATTTTACCTTGAAATTGCTAGGTATGGAATAAATCTATAAATACTTGCATTGTCATTTTTAAAACGATGCCAGCAACAAACTTTTTATATTTTGCTGGTAGAACGTTTTAAACTTTGAAGTTTTGTGTCAATGGCAAATAGCAGTATGTTGTTAGTTACTTCTATTATAATTAACATAAATTAATAATATTACATTTCAGGTAATGAGTACTGTCTAAAATCAGAAAACCCTGAAGATTGCGCTTTGGGTACGAGAGATTCAAATTCTGGAAATGATTTCTTTCAAGAGACTATAATGGAATTCTTATTGAACCTTCCGAACGATGTTGTCTCCACTGTATTAATAACTGCTTTAACTACAATACTGTTCTTATTGGGTTACATTTATATTGATAAGTCAAATCGTATAAGACCTCTAATTGCGAAAATAAATAAATTAGAAAAAGCGCTTTTATTAGCAGAAGAAGAAAACAAAATCGCAAAAGACAAACTGTTGCAAGAACTAAATAATAAAGTAAATGATAACATTTCAAGCGATGCTTTAGATTCTCTACAACAAAAATTAGAGGATGCACTTAATGCTAAAACATCATTGGAAGAACAGATTGTAAATCTTGAAAAAGAATTGGAAAATTCAACAGAAGTTGGTCTAGAACTTAACCGAATGTTGTCTGACTTTTTAAGTTCACAAGATAGTGATGTTTTAGTTGCTAATATTGAACAGTTACAACGTCAGCTTGTAGAGCAACAAGGTACCATTAATTCGTATAGTGAAACACTGAATGTTAAAGAAACAGAAATTCACGAATTGAGACTCGAATTAGAAATAAGCAATAGTAAACTTACGGAATTGCAAAAAGAAAACGAACGAGCTACTGCGAATCTTTTGAAAATCGAAGAAGAAAAATACGAATTACAAAACAAATTAGAAAGTGAAGTTAATGCACTTAAGAGGCATATAGAACAGCTCACTATTTCATCTACAGCACAGATTAATAAATTATCTGATGAACTTAAAATAGTACAAAAGAAGGCCGAAGAAAGTCAAAGAAATGCCGAATTGAAAACTAAAGAATACAGTCTTTTAAAAGAAAATACACTGAAATTAAAAACATTAAAAGACGAAGACATAAGTTCACTATTAGATGTTGCTACATTTAAAGCTGAACTTGAATTATTATCCAAAGAAAAGCATCTGCTTCTAGAACACTGCAAACAAAGTGATGAAGTTAAGGATTCTATTGAAAAGCAATACCAAAAAGTTGTTAATGAAATGCAAACTCTACAACGTCGTTATGACGAAGCTGATAGAGAGAAACTGGAAGCTCAAACTAAATTAGAAGTTTTAGAAAATTATTTCAAGGAGAGAGAAACAAATCTTCAAAAGTAAGAATTTGTTTATTGTAGAAAGCATTTTTTTAATGATTGAATTAATTTTAAGGGAATTGGCTAAACATGAAGCTATGTTTATGGAGAAGCAGGGAGAGACTTATTCAATAACAGAAAAGATTAAGTTTATGCAAGAGGAGTTACAAAATTATAAGTAAGTTAAACATGAACAGCTATTTACAATAGGAAACAAGTAATGCTTTATCATATTTTTTTAAGAGCTCAAAATGAGTCCTTGAAACAAGAAATAATGGAGCAAGAAGTACAGATGAAGAGTCAAATTTCGTTATTAGAAAAACGAGTACATGAGAATTGGGTAAATGCGAGACAGGCCGAACGTAAACTCGAAGAAGCCAAACAAGAAGCCGCTCAATTACGAAACAGATTAACCATACGAGAGCGGACGTTACAAGAAGAAAAATACCAAAACAGTAAGTTTTCTAATTTACTTAAAATTATCGTATTGTTTTTAATAATGACATATTATGGACATAAAAGAAAGAATGTTAAGGTTTAAACTATGAAAATGTAAAATAAGTTGTGGGTTGCTGCTAACTATTGTTGTTTTTGATACAATAGTGTTGATAATTTTTCATAAACAGTCATTTAACTGTGTAAAAATTACCCAAGAATTGATATATGTGTAATTTTAAATTTTAAAATTATTATCGACTTTTATGTGAAAACGTAATACGTTGTAAAAAAGTATTATTTCAGTTGAAATATTTTTATGTTTTGTAGGACTTAAGTCGCCTCCGGAACAAAACGGGGAATTACCAGTTTCTCCTACTCCGGCATCTCCTCCTTTAATATTCGGTGCTCGCGATCTTACAACCTCTCCTCCCCTTCAAGGCTTACCGCCGCCGTTTTTGCCCCCTCCACCCTTTATGCCTCCTCCTATACCTGGAGGTGTACCGCCACCATTTATGCCGCCACCCTCTATGCCACCCCTGCAAGCTATGTTCCCCAGCGATCGACGACCTGCTCCATTAGGACGAATGTCTTCCCCACCCATTGATTCCCGTTATTCCCCTGATTCTCGCGCCTATTCCCCCTACAGTAGAAATAGTCCCTCTCCAACTTCAGATGATGACTATTGCCACTCACCACCTCCTCTACATAGAGGATATAGTCCTATAAATAACAGGGAATCTAAGAGAGAATATAGAAGATCTCCTGGTGCTAGTAAAGTTTCAAGAAATCATAAAGGTATGACATTATTTATTAAATTAAGGAAATAATAAATCAATATTTATTAGCTGGTTGTCTTGATGTATACGTGTTAATAATTACTAATTAATGTAGCTTTTTAACTAGTTCGCTATTTTTTATTCTATTACAGGTTCCATGCATAGTTCTGGTTCAGCGAATTCTAACGAATCCTTAGAAAAGATCCCTAGAAAGCCGTCAAAAGTTTAGTAATGAGCTAATACATTAGGATATTCTTGAATGGCTTTTAGACATTTCCTAAAAAGCATTTTTTGTAAGTTTGAGTCATGCCATTGTTATATTTATGTACTTTCTATTTTCAAATTTCGATATAAAATTATCGTAAATGAATTTACAGTATAAGATTTAAGTTTTGCAGTGTGATAATTTTCAAATTATACTTGTATGTATCCAAGAAATAATTGCTTTAAACAGTTTACAGTATTTTTTTAAGCATACAGCCGAGGACCTACAAAGTCTAAAGCAATTCAATAAAAATGTTAACGACTGTACAGTGAATTAATATAACATGTAAATTTGTAGCCATCGTCCTGGTATTATAAGACCAAATTATTAATCAATATTAAATATATTTTGAGAACGTAGTAAATTTAGGAAATGTATAAAAATTAAGGCATTTGACTATTTATAAGACTTCCATTCGCTGTGGTATGTGCTGTAAGTTATCTTGATTTTTAGGCGACTTCCTAACACATGTCGTTAGTGTTGTCTGCAAATATTTTTGTAGTTTTTATAATAAACCAAATCGTAATGTATATAAAATCTACGATTATTAAATTGTAATGTTATAATTTAATAATTATTAGACGCTGTATCGTTTAACATCTACTGGCGATTTGTTAATAATAATTTGAATATATTATGAACTATTGTAAATATGTCTATAAAAAGAAATAAAACATTTATATCGATTGAGCGCTTTCATTATGATAAAAAAATACACTGTATGTATGCAAAAAGATATGAATAAAGATTATTAAATCCAGAAGTGATAAAATAAAACACTATATATCTAGTATTCCAAATCAACAACCCCTTGATTTTAATTTGACTATAGAATTAAAGAGAAGACGTTTAAGGGTTTTTAAAGGAAAGGGACGAAAAAAAACCATTACTAATGAAATTGTTCTTTAAAATTTTAAAAATGAAATTTTTAAACTTCAACGTACGTAATGAATTAAAGTAATAAATAGAAAAAGAACTACATAATTTAAAATAGCATTATTAGCAAATTTANGTTAAAATTGATATATACCCTGAGGAAGGCGGAGACTATAATTTTCAATTTGAGGATTCAAATCATTTAAATTCAAATTGTCCCCAAAATCAAAAACGTAAAATACCAAATAAGAAACGTATCATTAATCGAAATGAAAATAGCCCTGTGGTAAATTTAAAACGAATTCAACGATACTCCTTTGATAACGTAGAAAATACAACGAAAGTCAACGTTGAATGTCAGTATCCCGAAATTCTCCAAACGAATTTCGAAATAAGAAAGTTAAACAACAAAACGGAAAGGGACTATAATGAATACAGGGCAAAACGCACATTACGAAAACAAAGGAGGAAGACAAAAAAGAAAATTGATGAAAATGTTGATTATTGTGATACAAATAAAATTAATAATTGTCCACCATCATTCTTTCGAAATCACTCGGAACAGAATATGAGAACTTGGAAACAAATAAACAATTTGGATTCAAGCAGTTCCTGTTCTTCATTGGAAAATATTATTAAGTTTCAGAAGGAAATTACAAACAATGAAAAATGGACCCATGATTATTTACAAACAATCAAAAGTAAAACAGATACAGACTCTATTATCCAAAATTCAAATGGAGATAACAGATCACAAAAAGACTATTTAAATTACGCCGAAAATAATGCTAAAATAAGTCATTATCAAAATTTGGAATTTGAGTCTTTTGAAAAGAAAATGATTTCTAGTGAACTTGAGCAGATAGGCATCGACATTGAAAAGAATAGTCAAGTAGCAAATAGTACTATAGACTACACAAAATCAAATGGTCTTATTAAACTCACAAAAATTGAAGAAGAAAATCAGTCTGACTACAATAGTGAAGATTATATGACCATTTCTTCCGCAAGTAATGTTGAAGCAAGTAACAATGGAAAAGGCTTTAATAATAATTCAAAAACGAAAAAAGATCTAGCAAATTACAATAACAAATCTTACCTTGTTGAGTATTTATTTGTGTCACCGAAAGTTTCCATGGAAGTTGGAGGAAATCTGGAAAATGAGAAATCCAATGAATATGATAATTTTCAATATCAAGATAGTGAACTTATGATAAACATATCGTCTACATCGTCAGAGTTTGCAAATAAAGACAAAAATGTTAATAACAGTTACAAAAGTGAACTGCAGAATACATTAGCACCTTCTGAGCATAAATTAGACATTAATATCAAAACAAAAGCATTAGAAGTCAATTCAGATTCATGTATTAGTAGTAGATTTCCTAAAAAATCCAAAACAAGAACAATGGACTTTTCTGACTTGATCAAAAAAGAAACTAAGAATAAATCAAATGAAAATAACAACGATAATTTGTCTTCACTATTTTCCAATTGTCATTATAACAAAGAAGCAGGTTTAATAAAGAGTAATTGTTCTAAATTACATCAAACGCTTTCTGAAACTTTTAAAGGCATAACAGATTCATGTAGCAAGATCGAAACTACCCATACGTACCCAGATTAAATCCTTTTATAATTAACTGATTATTTCAATGAAAATTCTAATTGTAAACGTATTTTCATTATGAATTTATAATATGTACTTGTCATGAAATAAATCATTTGTTAATGTCAATTCTAGTTAGATGATTTTCGAATTTAAATTTTTGTTATAATCATCGTAGTTTAGAATAGTATTTTCTAAAATATTTATTGTGACAAACACCAGGATGTTGGCTGATAAGATAATTAATCGTTTAAATGTTTAAAGAATCGAAACAAGCAATGAACTTCTTTTTCGGCCTTTTGGGGTTTTCTCAAACACGTAAAGATAAGTCGATGAAGAAAAAGTACAACGAAAAGTCTAATAAAAAGAACACACTTAATGAAGGGTCAACAAAAGTGCCTGAAATTAAAGGCAAATTTTTAAAAATGAAATCTGCTTGTAGTAAAAACAATAAAAGAAATAATATGACAACAACTAGATGTGATGAAAGGAATCAACAGGAAATTAATATGAAAAATTGCCATAAAAAGTTAACTTCTGTAGTAAAACTGGAAGAAACTAATTGCAAACACCACAACAATCCTCCTAAT